ATTTTTTTTAATCTGCCTTCTAACCACTTAGCTTTACCTTTTTTATTTTCTTTTATTATAGTCTCTTTTTTATTTTGAATTTTCTTGTTCATTTATTGCTTATTTTGCATGTATGCTCTCATCTAATTTGACATTGAGACTCATTATATTCGAAGGATGGTTAAAAAAATGGCATCAAATATGAACAAAATCACCTGACTTGTGCATCTTAATTCAATTTTGATTAGCTTTTTGCATGTTTTTCAGAGTTACCTTCATCTTTTATATCAGGCTACAGTTTGTATAATATGTAATTTAAAGCATTGCTACTCAAAGTGTGGTACACAGACTTGTACTAGTATGTGAACCCTTGGCTACCAGTACATATCTGGTGATAAAGCATGGAAGATGAGTTTCAAAATAAAATACTAACCCTCTAGGTTCTTTGTAGATAAAAGTCAAAGCAGAAAATCCTGATCTCTGTTAAATTATTTGATGACACTTCAACCATTCCGTTTAGCATACATCAGCAGCTGGGACACACTTTTACAGCCAGATTATACCATGCTACTGCCATATAGTTGAATCACCATTATTTCTCCTGTTTTCCAAATGTAAGCAGAAATATCCATTTGCACAGCTTTTTACCAAGAACTGCTATTTTGTGGAATAGACTCCCATGTGGATGCTTCCCTGAATACTTCAATCCTAACCAACTCTTCAAGTCAGGCATCAATCATTGTCTTCTTTATCTTCATGAACTTCACTTCCTACTACTTCTCTTATGCACCTGATGCATCATCACCATTTTAACAGTAATCCTCTACCTTGAATTACTCTTAAGCCTTGTATTAGGGGAACTTTAGTATTAAAAAATAGTTTCTCAGGCATGAGTATTATTAAGACAATGCAGAAATACATTGGGTATTCATTTAATTGTATCATCTTCAATTGAACTAAGATAAACTTACAAAGGAGCATGCTCATTTTTCTTATAAGAAAGAAGACTATATTTATTATTTTTAATCTCCTTTATTCATAATTTTTCATTTTATTACTTACTAATGTTTTTAACCTGTATTACACTGTATGTGACTTTATTTGCTGTAAAAAAAAGTTTATCCTGCCACTGAAAGTGACTCTGATCCCTGAATTTGAATTTGTTTGATTTTCATAGTAGTGCTGTCATATTCTGCTATGGCAACAGAAAACATCTTTGAGTGAAATTAAAAATAAGGTTACTGCAATTGAGTGGCTTTGAAAAATTATGTAATGGAAAGAAAAGTAATGTTAATAATGCAGGGTGCTAAAGGTTAATATTTTTGATATGAGGTTTGCTTATACATTTTTAGAATGTTTTATTACTTATAAAATGGATAATTTAAAAATAATTAACCTTTAATACAGTCATTATATTTTTCTGATGAAGATCAACATTACTATGAGTATTCAGTTAGTGTTTTAATATAGTTATCTCATTTTTTAAGTATATGTCAACATCACTATGATAATCTAATTAACCTTTTACCAATCATATAATAGCACTGATATGTGGCCAATCCTTGACACAATAGGAAAAAATGAAATTAAATATTGTGAGTTTTGTTAATTCAGAGATTTACATTGGTTAAATGTATTAACAAAATTCTCTCATACAAATTTGCTTCAAAAAGTTCCTTGACTGTGAGTGCTGTGATTGGATAGGTAAATAGAAATGTGAATACAATTCTTTGGTACCTACCCTATTTAGTCAGTCTTTTCATGTTCAATCATTACATGAAGCTGTATTGCATTCAAACAGCTGTGAAATCTTTAAGACTGTTCACAAATTCAAGCAATGTACTGATATCTAATCCGGCATCAGGCTTGAGAAATCTTCTGTTAAGAACCTCAGAATACTTGGCTTGACTTTTGGGAAATGTCCTTTCAGTCAAATACACATTTTTGAGTTGCATGCATATTTCAAGGCCAGTCAAGTGATAGTTCAAGATGAAGAGTATTCAGGGTGACCAGTCATCAGCAAAATATGAGAAAATGTAGAAAAGAATTTGTGAAGAGCATTGCCAAGCAATTTTTCAACACTCACTCATGATAAGAAACAGTTAAAAAGTCTTCTTTTTCTGGGGAAGCTCATTTAGGAACTTCCCAATACCACTATGCATTAGCTATATTGAATAAACTAACCCAACAGTCGAGTTTGTATAAAAATCAGGAATTTAGAGAATATACTTTTCACTTAGTAAAATGAAATAGAAATTGGCTGGTGAGTTGTGATTACATTATTTACCAATGTATTTTGTTTTCACAGTACCTATATTATCTAAAGAGCTCTCTCTAAAAATTCAGGATGTGGAATTGATATATACTAAACATTTCAAATATCTTCTTGTACGGAATAGTTATAACAAATTTAGAATGGATTATAAGGAAATTGAACTTAGAATAGTCTGTGCTATGTGTAGTTTCACATAAGACTGCAAACTGATAAAAGACTAAATGTATACAATGGATGAAATGTCGTAAATATGGCAATAAAGATGACAACACTCCGAATGATGTAAATAGTTACAATATCTCATTTCAGAAATATAGACATATGTTAAAAACTAAAATGTTCTTAAATAGCATTTTTTGATCAAGACCTTCATATGGATGCCATATCTCATTTAGAAATAGTTAAACTGTCAGCTTTATACAACCATTTTCTTAGAATGATGATTAAAAATGTATTTAAGTGAATGAAGCCTGTAGGTCTTAGAGAGGACCATCCTTCAAATTTTGTGAACTGGCACTACAATAGCACAAAGAAAGAACTGTACCAAACAGTAGAAACCCCATCACTTGAGTATGTTCAGTAATATTGAAAACTAACATGGATGTTACATGGAAATCAAAGAGAAAATAATGATATAATCAAGATGTTGATAATCCACACTACTTCAAAACAAAATGTTAGGAAGAAATCTCCCATCAATACTGAGAAGAGTGATAACAGTTACTGGACTTGAGAAATCTATTTTCCTGAAAAACTGTTCCAAGAGATTTTATAAATTTCAATAAAAAGTAGAACTGTTATTCAGCCAGTAAATGCCAAAGATCTCCTTATAAGTAGACAACTAATATTATTATTATTATAATTTGTTTAGTTCCCATAATACAAACTAACAACTAAACTGTCACCTCATTTTTCCATTTTGTTTTTACTATTACTTCATGTAGTCTACAGAGGCTGTATTTAGAGTCCTTCCTATTCAGAGCTGTAAGAATTAAGATATTATTATTTCCTGAAAAATATAAATTTCAGTGGAAGTTAACTTAAAATAATTCTTTGCATCATACTGCAAGATTATGTAAAATAATACAACTATTGGAACTAAAGAATCAGTAAAATAATTGAACTTAAAAAAAACAAAAAAACTCTTACATACAGTGGAACCATGGTTCATGAATTGTATTTATTCTTGAAGGCTGTTTATGACCCAAAATGATTGTAATCCAAAATTCCCCCATAGGAATCTATGCAAAATAGATTAATCTGTCCCTGGACCACAGAGGATTGGTTATTTAAATTTTACAACAGCTGTAGCAATACAAGTTAAATTTAATACAACTCGATATGGAATGTTTACTTTTGACTGATGGCTAACTGTAGTCACCTCCAAAGTAGAAGAGCAAGACTGAGTGAAAGTGACAGGAGAAAGTTTAATTGTTTTTGGACAAAGATGACAGGACAAAGAAAACTGTTGTCTATAAAACTGGCTATCCTGCACAAAGGAAAACAAGGTATGAAGCAGGCCTCACAGAAAGACAGATCACAGCCACCAAATTATGCACCTCCCCCTCATGCTTTAACCTACCTTCACTTGCTTATAGTAGTTAAGTATTACCTAAGAATAAAATCTGGTTTACTACTAGAAATTTTTTTTCACTAATGAATAGCGATCTGGCTGAAGGATAATTTTTAAGCCACAAAAAAAGAAACTGCACCCTGTTAATGCACACACAACACAATTTTATACACAAAGGCAATGAAAATCATTAAATCCAACACAAAAAGATAAACATAACACTAAACAAATAAAATATAGATAAAAACTTAATTTAATTTTACCATATCTGTATGGAGGAGAATTGATGGCATAAGTGGAAGGTGAAAAGGAACAGAAGAAATGATATTGTTTGTAAGGTATTGCTTCCATAAAAACCTCAGGGTTCTTTTGGAGTTTTCTTCTCTTTTATCACTATGTGTCACCCAAGACAATTTTTGTTCTGAAAATTTGTTCTTGAACTGATTTGTCCATAATGAGAGGCATTCATAACCTGAAGTTCCACTGTATTTTAAATTTATTCAGATTTCTAACAATCAATCACAGACTGATGAGAAACAAGTTAGCAAAATGGCAAAAATAAATGGAACTATTATTGAGACAACTGATTGAAAAATTTAAAGCTGATATTTATCTTTCTAATTAAGGAAGTTAAATGGGGAAAATGGTTTTATTACTAACTTTTTTTTATTTTGATATTAGCTTTGATTAGATGTTTATGTAACCAGGGATACTGTTGGTAGACTTTATAATTCCAGATATCAGAAGGATAATTTATTAAGCAAATATGTCAAAACTTTCATTCACTTTAATAATTATGAATATATTGACATAGCAAATGCTAATTTTTTCTCATTTGTTTAAGGTTTGAAAAGATATGAAGAGTTGATCAATTAATAATTATTTACATTCTGCTAGAAATTTGATGCAAAATATTAATTCACCTGTTTCTTCTAAGACTGTGAGACCTTCTCCAGATTCATGGAGAGGAATGGACCATTACCCTACTGTGCTGGCCCAGTGCATATTATTGGAGACAGATGGGACATGCTTGACAGGTCATGTCTCTTTTTGATACTTAATTGCCCAAGGGTATTTATGTATGTGAATGTCATGAACCTGACTTGAATTCATATTAGGCTCTTTGATTTCTCCTGCCAAGCCATTATCCATTACACCAACTGCCTATCCAAGCTTACAGTACTTAGTATTCCAAAGTGGTCACCCATCTATGTACTGACCAGGCTCAACATTGCTTAACTTTGTTGATCAGATGAGAACCAATGTTTCAACATGATATGGCCATAAGCAATTAACATATTTAAAGAACAGATATTATCTCCCTTTACTGAAAAGTGATCTTGATGCAAGAAGTTGAAGGATGACAGAATAAAAACTACAATAGTAACATTTGTGGAATTTGATGATCTAACTCTTTAACATGTTGATAACCACTTCAAATGCCAACTTTATAATAGATAGCTTAGGCACTAAAGGTTTTTGATTTGATGTAAAACTTCAGGTGAATCCTTAATATTGAAACACTGTACTTTTGTGCCATATATGAAAACAACTCACCTGTGTTGTTTATTGTTTTAAAAAAGTTTCCAAATTGACTGACTAGTTTGGATATTGGACACTTCTGTTGTTTTTCAATTGATTCATTTATGTGTGACATTTTCGACAAATTTTTGTGATAAAAGTTTGTTTTTTAGTTGTCATTTTTAATTCCTGACTTAGATGCCAGGTACCAGTTAGTTGTTTTAAAAAGACCAAAAAAAACAACTTGTGGTTGTAGCCTTGATGTCAAAGCCACAAAACACAATAATGGATAAGGATCAGCAACGTAATTGATCCTGATTTGGCATCTTGACGTCGCATGACTTCCCTCTGTCTTTTCTCTGATAAGCTTTTTTCCCTGGTGCCTTGACTACATGAGTTTAAGCAAGCATCTAGGTCCCACCTGTTTACTCTTGAAATAGGTAAATGCAACCACCACTTCTACTCCAACAGTTTCTTTTCTCACATACCCTGCTTGTGCAAATTCCTTCTATTTCCTTGCTTTCCTGATAACTACAGTCCTCAAAAATTTAAATACAACATCACTTGCCATCTTCTATCTTCTTAAATCTGGTTCATCGTTTTTCCTTTTCTCAATCTACCTTATACTCAGTCGTTTCTCTTACTTTCACTCCCTGTAGACCCCTGCATACTAGTGGTATTCCTGTCTTGCTTGAGGTGAAATGATTAAAAAAAATCATGGTTAGCATCATAATAAAATCTGGCAATTGCAAGGTAACAATGTGGTTGGCAGTCAATGTGTTAAGGCCATAAGTGCTCAAATGTCGAGGTGTGTCTGAATGCACCCTGCCACTGGAGAGAACTTTATTTCAATACACATCACATGATCAACTAGAAGTAGTAGAAATCTGTACAACTTGGTAAAAGTCATAGGTTTTCAAAACCCATCTGGTACCAAGGGGGTTAACCACTGATATTTGCTATTTTTCACAAAAAAATTCTTTGTTCAAATTTTTAACATTCGATATTTATGTTATTCATGGAAAATCAGCAATTACTGTAAATTTTACAGATTGAAGCTTATTATATGCACAATTATCAAGTATTTGCTTATTGGTGATCATTGACTGATTGTAAGATGTGAAATTCTTTAAAATCTACTGTCTTATCTTCCTTCAACAATAATGATATAACAAAATAATTTTGAACTGTCTTATGAGTCTGAGAAGTTTTTCAGTCACTTTCTTTTGTCTGGGTCTTTCTTGCCAGCCTCGGAATTAATGGTTGACGTGTATACTGAAGTGTTTATTTTGTACAGCACCACTGAGGTGTTTTGAGAGATAGAAACTTGAGAAGATAATCGGAGCAAATATTGGTCATCGTAAGCTTCTTGGATCTCTGTTAGGCTCAATAAAGAGATGTAACTCTTTGCAGTAACTTCTGGGGTCTGTGGAGAATTCTGGTAGGTAGAAAGTAATTGGATATTTCAACATAGTGTAGCATTTCCCATTTTTGGTGTCTCAGTAGAATGCATCATTGTAAAGAAGGTCGAGATTTTAATAATTCTGAAGTTAACTCTATAATTTCTTTTGACCTCGTCAAACATTGTTATTCTTTGTCATAATCTTTGAACTATGTTCTTTTCATATGCTTGTGCTCTGTTTACACAGAAGCCTGTACTAAAAACAACTTAAATAGTTTAGGGTCTGAATAAAATACTGTTTCAGAAATAAGACAGATTTGTATGTAATGGTGCTAACATATTACATTGTTGGATTACTGTCTTTCAATGTATGTCTAGATATTTTAGCTTTGATCTTTCTCTTTCATTACACAGCATTAAGGCAACACAGGCAGTTTTTAAAGATTACATGAAGTGGATATTAAATGTGGTAGAAATTTCTACATTTGAACTTTAGAACTGAAATCACAGGAATTCCCAACTTTACAGATAATGGATTAAAGTATTATTTTCAAATGCATTGGGAATTTTTTCAACAGTTAACATTTCAATAAATATGCATAATGTTTCTGCCTAATTATAATAAATAGATCCTTGAATCTCTACTTTGCATTATTGCTGTTTACAAATTTTGGAAAATATGGCAAAGAACAATATGTAGTAAATCAGTTCACTAAAAGTCAGACTCGAGGTAAACAAGAGTGCTATAACTAATGTAGGGATAGAAACATCTGGGATAACAAACCATATCTGGAGGGAAAAGAGTATGTACTACTCTCTCTTGCACAAAGTCCAGATAATTGACAAGAAGTACTGTTAAGAAATAAGGAAGCTGAAAGAAGCAGCTTATATATAAACTGAATTAATTTGACTTAGCATGGGATTCAACATTATATGGTTTTCTTTACTTGATGTTCAGGAATTCCTCAACTTGGCATAGTTTGGAAATGCCTAAGTGCTTGACATATTTGATACCCTGGAAATAGACAAGCCTGGTGGGTACATTAATGATCAATTTCCAGTGACATTTTTTCTTTCTGGAAGCTGGTTTCCTTTGATCTGATATATTACAGCTAATGAGTTCTTAAACATTTTGTTAACAGTCATTATAGAAAGAAGAGATTGGAATGTCTGAATAATTTTCTATATGCTTCGTTGGTGTTCAAAGTCCAGACTATTTTTAAGCAGGTATTTAAGAGGAGTAGAATATATTATTTTACATTAGGTAATGTTCTTCTTTGAGAATTTGGTATATTTTCTTTTGCATTTCAGAGATTTTCTTATTTGTAGTGTACATTTTGTATGTACTTCTATGTTAAAACCTCTGAGTATTACTGTTGAAAATATCAATCACTAACAAAATAACTTGAAAAATTTTCAGTAGGTTCTAATTATTTAATTGGTAAATTTCATACTAGTATTGAAAGACATATTTTCTTTAGCAGCACTTCTAGATCTTTATGTCAATAGACATTAATTTTACTGTTTAAAAAACAGCTATTTTTAATTAAACACATGGATTAAACAGGGTTGGTGCAAGGATCTCACCCATCCTTCAATCTAAGATAGGAGCTCACACACTACTACATGTAAATTTTCATAAGGTAGTATTTATATGAAATAGAAATTTTATTGTTAATCTAATTATGTACAGTAATCTATCATGTGCAATATAGGTGAAGAATTCAAGTACAAAAAATGAATATAAATACAATGTATTTAAATATAAATTAGAGACATAACAGATCATTCCATCTTAAATAAATCTACAATGTTTGCAGCAATTTTTAACATCAACTTGAAATTTTTCTTGTTAAAAATTTAAGTAATTTTAACACATTCAACATTATGGATAAACAATAGTAAATTTTATATAGAGTTTTTTTGAGACTTAGCATGAGGAAAGCAGATTCATGGATTTGAAGAAAAAATATCCCTGAATGATGCCAAAATCCACAAAGAAATTTTGTCCTTTAATTGTCATTTGTGCTTAGTTTAATTTGTAAAATACATAGGTGAAAAAATCAAAACAAATATTGATAGTGAGAGTTACAAAGAAATTCCCGGGGCCCCCAATCAGGGTTGCCCTACTCCAGGTCTGGGTTTTTGGTGGGTAGTATATACTGGCCTTGGCATTAAATATGTTTATAGTAATAAGAGCTAATATACATTGAAGAGGGAAAGCAGTTGACTCCAAAAATGATATCTTAAGTGTATAAAAGGAAGTCAGGCATGTCAGAACATGTATAGACAGGAAAGGGAGCAATCACCCTCTTTTGAATGAGCTTAAATTAATGTTGTAGCTCAGCAGAGGCTATTTAGGTTGAAAAACAAAGTGTTATGTAAGTAAGTTGAATTCCATGTGGGTGCGTGTAAACACCAAATTGTCAATGTTTTCTACATGAAAAATTCATATTTGTGTTAATCTGCACTGTAATACTGTAATAAATGGATTGCTTTTGTCTATAAGAATCTTTCATGTTTTTTTGTTTCTTTCCATGAGAGATAAAGATGCAATTCATTGAAGTATACATTTGAGGAATGTCAAAGAATGCATCAGTTGAAATGAGATTTCTATTGCAATTAACTCTTGGAATAACTGTCAGTTTGAGTTCGTATATTTCACTTTCAAGCATTATTCTGGAAAGGCTCCTGCTCTCTGACCTGCTGAACCTCAGCCAAACAACACTGAACTTGCTACCTGTCTAGCATGACAAGCTATAATAATATTAATAATCTTTTAGCAATACCAGCAACTTAATATTGTTATGTCTAGAATTGGTAAATTTTGTCTAGTTTTCTTATTTTCTCTGTTCTTTCTGCTTGGGTCTTAAATACAACACTAAATATGTGTACTATCATGTGTATTGTGCTGTTTCAAAAGTATTTTCAGTTTTTAATCATTGAGAAGCTCTCAAGAGTGTATAATGTTCTCCTTGGCTGTTAGCAAATGAGATAGCCAACATGCTACTTAAGCTTGTGTAAATAGATGACAAAAAATGGTTTAGAAGAGATAACAAAAAGACAAAATTTACTAAGAGCTCCAAAGGATGATATCCACATGTAAAAAAAAAAGGCTAAAAATAATGGAAGCATTCTTAATAGAAAAGAAAAAAACCAACACTCAATATCATCAGTTATGAACACAACCACAATCTAGTGCCCATGTTTGGAAAATAAAACATTCCTCTAACTCTAGATGCAAACATTCAATTAAAAATATAATCATCCTTGATAATGGCTAAAAGGATAGCTGAAAATGCTCAGACATACAGAACATTTGAACAATTATTACATAATTTATGCCCAGGAAAGGAAAAAAAAT